GAATTTAGCATGGCTCTGTTCATTCACATAACATTTGGAGGCCTCTGGCTAGAAGGGGAAAGGACCTTTGTTACTGCTGCTTTGGAGTGTTAGTCAGGGTCTGTTCACATACTGCCTCTGCAAGTGCCTGCCAGCCAGTAGGGGAAGGACCACCACCTAATTAGTGCCAGGTCACAATGGTAGTCCAGGCTCCACTCATCCTCACACCTTCCTAATGGCAGTCAGGAGGAGATGAGGGATACTTAATGATTCCTGGGCTAGGATGGCTCCAGCCACATGTACATATACAATCACATATATAATCTTTCTGGGTGCCCATTTTTGATGGGCCAGGATGGAAGTCAGGGCTCTGCTCATGCACACAGCATCTGCATGTGCCCACTGCTTGGGAGAAGGGGCATTGTCACTTTACTGCTGGGCTAGGATGAAAGGGTTGTGCACATACAAAGCCTCTGCAGATGCTTCCTGGCAAGAAAGGACAATGGTACGCTGGCTGTCATGCATAATAGTGTGAGAGATCGGCATTTTTTGTTTGTAGTGTTTAGCCAGTGTAGAGTTGGCATTGTCTAAAGGGTTTTACTCTGCAGGGCCATGACCTCCTCAACCCTTTGGCTAAGGAAAGCAGGCATATCTTGGGTTTTTTTCATTATTGTGTGGTGTGTTTTTTTGGTAGTTTTTTGCTCCTGTGGCATCTCCAATTTGTAAGCTTCTCTGGTGCCCTGGGTGGAATACATAGGAAGACAAAACAAAACAAAAAAACCCAACTCTCCTCCAGGGAACTCACCAGTGGGCTGGGTTGTTCTTCGAGTTCCAAGGTCCGTAGACGGTCTGCCTTCATTTCTCCAACTTTCAGATTCTTAAGTTTGTTTCATGTATTTTTTCCCATGGATTTTAAGTCTTATAAGTAGAGAGGAATAGAGCAAAATGTGTTTACTCTATTATATCCAGAACTATGGTTTCTTTTTTTTCTTTGCTCTTCTGCATGTATAGAATCTTTTTTTTCTGTTGCTTTTAAGATTCTCTTTATCACTGATTTTAATCAATTTTGTTATGATTGTATTGGAGTAGTTTTTTTTTTTTTCCATGTTTCTTGTGCTGGGGATGAGTTGAACTTCCTGGATCTGTGGATTTATAGTTTTGATCAAATTTAGAATTTTTTTGACTATTATGTCTTCAGATATTTTTTCTGTTCCCTGCCCATTCTTTTTCCTCTCTTCTAGGGATTGTAATTACACATAATTAGCTGGTTGAAGTTGTCCAACAGTGCTCTGATACTCCATTATTTTTTTCTTTTTGTGTGTGTGAGGAAGATTAGCCCTGAGCTAACATCCATTGCCATCCTCCCCTTTTTGCTGAGGAAGATTGGCCCTGGGCTAATATCCGTATCCATCTACCTCTACTTTATACATGTGACGCCACCCACAGCATTGCTTGATAAGTGGTGCCTATGTCCGCGCCTGGGATCCGAACCCACAAACCCCAGGCCACCAAAGCGGAGTGTACAAACTTAACCACTATGCCACTGGGCTGGCCCCAGATACTCTTATTATTTTTAGTTTGTTTTTCTCTGTTTCAGTTTGTATAGTTTTTATTGCTATGTCTCCAAATTTACTGTTTTCTTTTGCAGTGTCTAATCTATTAATCACATCAACTGTATTTTTAAATCTGAGACATTGCTTTTATCTCTAGAAGTTTGTTTGCATTTTTCTAATATCTTCCACATCCCAACTTACCATATCAGTCTCTCCTCTTCCTTGCTGAACATTTGGTATATAGTTATGACTATTGTACTATTAGTATTCATTACCAAACATAAAATCTGGTAAATCCAATATAAAATCTATTTTTGTCATGTCTACATGTTTCTATTGATTTTTCTCCTTATTATAGTCATGTATTCCTACTTCTTTCTTTTCTTTTTTTTTTTTAAATTTTTTATTTATTTACTTTTTCCCCCAAAGCCCCAGTAGATAGTTGTATGTCATAGCTACACATCCTTCTAGTTGCTGTATGTGGGACGTGGCCTGAGCATAGCTGGAGAAGCGGTGCATCGGTGCGCGCCCAGGATCTGAACCCAGGCCGCCAGCAGTGGAGCACGAGCACTTAACCGCTAAGCCACGGGGCCGGCCCCAGTCCTGCTTTTTTCTTTACATGACTGGTAAATTTTATTTACTACCAGACATTGTGAAAGTTACCTTCTGTGTGCTTGGTATTTTTGCATTTCTATAAATGTACTCAGGCTTTGTTCTGGAATATACTTATGTTACCTGGAAACAGTTTGTTCCTTTCGAGATTTGCTTTAAGCTTTGCTAGGTGGGACCAGGGAATCCTTCAATATTTTCTTTTTTTTAAGGAAGATTGGCCCTGTACTAACACCTGTTGCCAATCTTCCTCTTTTTTTTCTTTTTTCTCCCCAAAGCCCCAGTACATAGTTGTATATCTTAGTTGTAGAGTTGTAGCTCTTCTGTGTGGGATGCCACCTCAGCATGGCTTGATGAGCTGTGAGTAGGTCTGCGCCCAGGATCTGAACCAGTGAACCCTGGGTCACCGAAGCGGAATGCACAAACTTAACCGCTATGCCACCAGGCCAGCCCCAGGACCAGGGAATCCTTAGTCTATTGCTAACTTGCCTCTCTACTGAGGCAATAACCTTTTGAGTAATCTAACCAGTTCCCTGTAAATTATGAGGTTTACCACTCTGGTTGATGGGACACAAACTATTCCTGATTCTGTGTGAGCTCCAAGGAGTACTTATGCTCTTTATTAAGCATTTCTTTTGCTGGCCTCAGGTGGTCTTCTCATAACCTCACCCGTGCTCCATCAGAACTTGGCTCAATGCTCTGCCCTGCAAACTCTAGCCATCATGGCCTCCCTGGACTCTCAGTTCCATCTTGTCAATTTAGGGAGATCACGAGGTTCCCCCTGCATTCCTCCTCCCTGTGCTGAGATATGGAAATGCCTTCTAGGCAGTAGGTGGGGTCAAGTGTATGGATCACGTTTGTTTATACTTTATTAGGCATTACCTTGTATTGTCTGATGTCCAATATCTGAAAACCATCGTTTCTTATATTTTATCTAGTGTTTTTGTTATTTTAGGCAGGAAGGTAAATCCAGTCTCTATTACTCCATTTTGGCTGGAAACAGAGTATTTGAAAAAAAAAATTCTAGACTTACATAAGAATTGCAAGAGTACAGTTTCCATACACCCTTCTCCCAGTTTGCCTAATAGTAACATTTTACATTACCATAGCATAATGATCAAAACCAGGACACTAACACTGGTATAATACCATCAATTAAACTACAGCTTTATTTGGATTTCACCATGTTTTCTCCACCAATTTTCCAAAGATCGAATCCAGAATCCTGCATTGTATTTTGTTGTCAGGTTTCCTTAGTCTTTTCCAATCTTTGAGTTTCTCAATCTTCCCTTGCCTTTCTTGACCTTGAAAGATCATGAACTTTTGGCATACTGGGTAAGTTATTTTACAGAAGGTTCTTCATTTTGGGTTTGTCTGCTGTTTCCTCATTATTAGATCACAGTTATGCATTTTTTGGTGAGAATACTACCCAAGTGATGTGCCCTTAGTACATCACCTTGGGTGGTATATGATGCCAGTGTCTTACTACTGGTGATTATTTGGTTAATTAAGGTGGTGTATGCAATGTTTTCTCTTTGTAATTAAATATTTGGGAGAGATATTTTGAGACAATTCTAATATCCTGTTTTTCTTCAAACTTTCAGACCTTCATATTTTAGCATCCATCAATGGATTTTGTATATAATTTATTATTTTATGGTGATTTCCTATTTCCTTCATTCCTTTTACATTTATTAGTTAGAATTCTTCACCATTAAATTGAACAAGGATTCTTTCATTGGGAGTAGTTAATTTCATGGTTCAGGGCAGCAATAAACAGGATAGGTCTGGAACATCCTCCTGTATTTTGGAAAAAACCCAAAAGTTTCCAAGTTGGCTAAGGAAAATGTGGACAGGATAAAGGAGCAAATGAAAATGGAAAGGAATAAAGTTTTATCAATTTGAGCTCCACAAAAAAAGTAGCAAAAAGAACATGTGTTAACAACAATAATTATATTATGGTTTATTGGGGTAGCAGTCTGTGAAATGACAATAATTCATAACAAAGTTCAAAGAAAAATGTTAATGTAATGTGATCAAAATGTAGCTGCAATTACAAATAAGGGAGACATAATGAGAATTCATTAATTTTTCATTTATTCATTAATGATTTCAAAAAGTAAGTGCCAAGACACATGGTTATTTTCTTTCTGTCATTAATTTTAAGTCTGTATATAAGACTTAGATAGCTCATTGTTCTAATTTGTTCAAGCAAGCAAAAAAATTTAGAACATACACAAAGAAGCGTAGGGCAAGTAGTTGTGGAGTACTACACCAAGAGGAGGGAAACTAATCAGCACTGGTGGTAACAGAATAACCAGGTAGAGTGCAATCAAAGAGCAAATCAGCAGTGTAGGCACATAATAGCTCAGTAAATAGAGTGAACTATTAATAATTATAATAAATATAGTTGAAGTGTTTCAAAGTTATGAAATAGAAAATATCCTAATAAAAAAGGTAACAACAGAGACTCATTATCTTACTGTGTAGGACATGAAATATCTACCAATTACATATTTTAAGAACTAATTTAAATATTAATAAGGAATATTTAAAGAAAACATAAGTCAATGTATTCCAGTGAGAAAATGACTTGATTACTACTGCTGACCATACAAAATTTTAAGGAGTCCATAAATTCTGGGAAAGACACCAGTTTTAATAATTAAAATCTAATGGATGATGGTGACATAAATGTATCTAAACATAATAGGTAAATTTTCTTATAAAAATCTAATAACCAGTGGCTCATGATCACATTGACTGCATACCCAGGACAACTGTCCTAAAGAAGAGATGATGGACAGCTAAGATTTGCAACCTTATCTCTGTGACTGTTCTCATTTTCTTTCTTTTTTTTTTTTTTGGAGTCCAGTGAGATCCCTAAAATCAAAGGTCTATTGATTGTTCAACTGCCAAAACCTAGTAAGGCAACATAGAGGAAATAAAAAGGAAAATTATGAATAGATACAAAACCCAGTTGAAGCCATGGTAATGAAAGTTATAAATCCTTTTAATGTAAGTTTAGTTATCAGTCTATAATCACTGCAATAGTTGTAGATTTTTGCCTCCCTTTAAAGATGGTTAACAAATTTAAGAGACTCATAAGATTGGGTTAGTAAAGTTTATGAAGTATTTAAAAGTGCTCCTTTCATTTAGATCCTGACTGGTACTGCCTCATGGTGAAAAGCCTCCTTTAAAGGAATTTTGTTGTAGTAGGTATTTAGCGAAATCTGTCGTGTCAAAATAGAAATTCAAGAAGAAGTCAACCATTTGATGACAATGGAAAGGAGATTATACATCTACCATTAAAACAAAAACAATATAAAACAAAACAAAAAAATATATACAAACACCATGCAGGGCCACAAGACTTTAAAACCACATAGTATCTGACTGGGAGTTCTAACTCTCTGGAAGAAGATAAGTATGTCATATATAACAAGCAAAAAATTAGAATGCAAAAGATGTATTTGAGTAATATTACAAATCAGTAAGCCAAAAACAATGAATAGACAAAAGAACAAAAACACCAAAAGTAACTAAGCAAAACCTGCCTACACAAGAAACTCATATAAGAATAACTCAAATAATAATTAGGGAAATACATTTTCCACACATTTCAGAAACAGATTAATAAAGATCATCCTACATAAATGGACATTCAGCATGTTAACTGATATAAAAGGAGAAATATCTGGCAATATCTAACAAAGCTGAAAGTATATATCACCTATTCCTAACCAATTCTACTGCTGAGTAGAGTAGCCATAAATGAGTCTGGAAAGAGATTTAATAAGAAAGATATATTGAATCCTCTTGATTACTTCTTATTAAATACACAGCTTTTTACAGTGAAACAGAAACAAAAGGCCTTTATACACATCTTTCATTCAAAAGATTTCTTACCAGTATAACTTTTTTGATATCAAGTAAAGTGCCTGCCCATACTATACGTATTCCCACATTCCTTACATTCATAGGGTTTCTTACCAGTATGGATTCTCTGATGTTTTGTAAAGGATGAACTGTGTCTAAAGGCCTTCCCACATGCCTTGCATTCATACGGTTTCTCTCCAGTATGAATTCTCTGATGTTCAGTAAGGGCTGAACTGTGTCTAAAGGCCTTCCCACATACTTTACATTCATAAGGCTTCTCACCACTATGAATTCTCTGATGTTGAATAAGGGCTGAAGTAAGTCTAAAGAACTTTCCACACTCTTTACATTCATATGGTTTCTGACCACTGTGAATTCTCTGATGTCGAGTAAGTTCACTACCAACTCCAAAAGCTTTCCCACATTCCTTACATTTATAGGGTTTCTCACCAGTATGAATTCTCTGATGTCTAGTCAGGGATGAACTATTTCTAAAGACCTTTCCACATGCCTTGCATTCATAGGGTTTCTTACCAGTATGAATTCTCTGATGTCGAGCAAGTTCTCTGCAGACTCCAAAAGTCTTTCCACATTCTTTACATGCATAAGGTTTCTCACCAGTATGAATTCTCTGATGTTCAATAAGCTGTGAACTAATTCTGAAGACCTTCTCACATTGTACACATTTGTACGGTTTCTCACCAGTGTGAATTCTCTGGTGTTCAGTTAACTGTGAATGAAATCTAAAGTCCTTGCCACATTCCATACATCTATAAGGTTTCTCATCAGTATGGATTTTCTGGTGTCGAGTAAGTTGTGCATGCACTCTAAAGGATTTCCCACAGAATGTGCATTCATAGGGTTTCTCAACATCATGCATTCTTTGAAGTGGAGCAATTTCTTCAACTCTTCTGAAGGTCCTTCCGTATTCCTTACACTTATAGCACTTCTGATCATCAGGAATTTTCTGATGAACACTAAAGTCTTCATAAAAATGAAATGCATTCTCATATTCCATATATTTACAAGGATTTACACCAATATGACTATTTAGTGGTAGGGTATGTGGGTCATCTACTCCAAAGGTTTTCCAATATCCATTACATTCATAGGTTTTCTCACCAGTATGTATTCTGTCATATTCAGCAAAGTTTAAGTCACAACTAAAGAACTTCCCATATTCTTTACATTCATAGGGCTTCTTGCTATCATAAATTTTCTGATGTAATTTAATAGAGTTATGATTTTTGTAATTGGGCACTTTTTCAGAGATGATTTTCATTTGACCGAAATATCCCACCTCAGGTCTTTGTACTTCAATCTTGGTTTTGCTTTGCCAGTCATTTCTAAAAATGGAGGTCTCAAGGCCAATGAATTGACCACTTTCTGTTACTTTCCACTGAGAACCATTGTTTTCAATAATGTCCTTCCCTATAGATAAACTCTTTGTGTCATACTTGGACTCCAAATCTGAAAGAAAAGAAAAAAATATTTTTTCATGTGTTACAAAAATAAAAGTTACAGAATACAGAGGAGAAAAATTGAAAATAATTCACAATATAAGTGAATGATTAAAATGCTGTTATGAAGTCTGAAGGGTAAAGAAAGCTCAGAGAATGATAAGAGCATGATATAAGGTTTGTGATAAGGGAAACAGATTCAGTCAGTGGGTCTGAAATCCAGGCATTGATCATTACCTAGTAAGCTTGTTGTCAAGTACTGATTTCAGGAACCAGTCCAGATAAACTGAATCAACATCTGTAGATGTAGACCTAGTCATCAGTATCTCATAGAGACACTGCTAATGCAGACTAAAATTTGATAATCTATACATACTTACAATTTTGTGATTTTTCTCTTTTCTTTCTTTTTTTTACACAATAGAATCCAAACACTTTACCATGGATGACAAGGTGCTGCTTTTAAGACCCTCATTTTAATCCATTATCTCCTTTCACCTAATCTTTGATCTCCTACATCAAACCACATTTCTTATCATATAGAGCTACCCAGAGGATGTTTTATTTCTCAGAAATGAGTTCCTGGGCCGGCCCGGTGGCTTGGTGGTTAAGTGAGCACGCTCCGCTGCTGGCGACCCGGGTTCGGATCCCAGGCTTGCACCGACGCGCTGCTTCTCTGGCCATGCTGAGGCCACGTCCCACGTGCAGCAACTAGAAGGATGTGCAGCTGTGACACACAACTATCTACTGGGGCTTTGGGGGGAAAAATAAATAAATAAAATCTTAAAAAAAAAAAAAAAAAAAAAAAAAAGAAATGAGTTCCTTATATACCACCTCCTTTTCATTGTCCAGGTCTAAAAGTTACTACCCTCAAAAGGATGTACTGTCTGACTCTAAGTAAGTTCATATCTATGTCTCTATTCTAATACCTAGTTCCTTGCCCTCATATCCATTTTTTTCAATTGTGTATTCAGTAATTTTCTCTGTTGATACTGTTTATTTCTTTATTCCTTAAACTCTGAAAGGACAAATGCAATCATTTTTTAATGTACCACTGAATAATAAAAGTCCCAAGGACATAGTAGTTGATAATTACAGGAAAAGTAAATCACTGGATTTAAGGCACCTAAATAAGAATAAAGGAAATATTACAAAGATAGTCACTAGAGAACACAATTGATTATCAAAATGATTATATAACCATAAGACTAATGCAAAATTATAGCACATCTCCAGGCCTCCCAACCCTCACACTATACTACAGTGATTATATATATATTGATAGCATATTAAGATACATTCACATATATGATTAATGTGTTTATAAATGATTGTTTGCCAGTTGCCTGTCCAACTACGCATATTGTCTCCATCACTGCTGTTAATTCATTCCTGTGCAGAACCACGATTTTCTTCATCTCACATGTCAATAAAGCTGAGGTGTTTTAAGTAGCATTTTCACTATTACTCATTTATCCTACTGAAATCCTAGTCTCTAGGTAAATGTTTTCCTTCATGCTCTTTCACAGATATTCCTTTCCATTTTCCCATACTCAAAACCAACCATTGCTGTAATTTCCAAAAATATTTTAGATATTATAATAGGTATATACCATATTATAATATTTATGCAATTCTGAGCAAAGCTTGTGGCTGAGAAGGGGAATACGCTAACATAATGATATGGAAAAGGTGGCGTTGGTGGGCAAGAGTGTAAGGCACTTTGTAACAAAGGATCTGTTGGACATTGGCTGGAGATTGGCCATCAGATGAGGGAACAACATGAGGAAAATCCAAAGTAACTGATAAACATTGCATGATATAGGACAAAAATAATTTCCTGTGACAAAATTATGTTAAGTATAAGAAAAGGTGAAATAATGCAAACATCTTATTTGACTAAAACAGTAAAATCATAAATGAATGCCAGTATCAGTAAATCAAAAGCACTTCCACTTAGAAATGAAGACGCTCTCTACCAAATAACTGTTTAGTCAATGTGGAAATGTAAGTGAAACTACAAAATTTTCAGATGGCATTGAAAATATTACATATTAAAATCTATAGAACTCAACAATAGTCACATAAAAAGGATTTAAATGCTTACATTAATAAAAATAAAGGAATAAAAATAACCAATGTATGCATCCCACTCAAGAAGACAGAAAACAACAAAGTAACCTGAAGAAAAGGTGAGGGGAGAATTCAATAAATAGACAATCAGAATGTAATGAGTTAGAAAACATATAAAGAATATAGTTAACATACAAAAAATAAAATGACAAAAGAGAAAGAATTACTAGAGAAGGTATTTTTTTTATTGATGTTTTAATAGTTTATAACATTGTGAAATTTTGGGTTGTACATTTTTGTTTGTCCATCACCATATATATGTCTCCCTTCACCCCTTGTGCCCACTCCCTACCCCCACTGCTCCTGGTAACCCCAATACAGTTTTAGAGAAGGTATTTTTAAAAATGTTATGACTCCTATGTTAATAAACTTGAAAATATTGACTTATGAACTATTTTATAGTTAAATAAATGTTGAAAACCCCGGAAGCCATAAAGGTTGAGAAAGGTGAATTTGCTAGAAAGAGATAAAACTGTCAAGACTCACCTCCCTTGACACAATCATATGCATGCCTATTGCCCACATTGTGGCAATAAACCAGGTAATGAACCAGGGCTCCTAAAACTAAGATCTGAGTCATGATCTGGAGTAGAAGATGTGCCCTTGATTGTCGTGGCAGAAAGCAAGAAAGTTTTATAACATTAATGGGTTGTGTCAAAAAGACAGAGAAATCACCTGAAGGAGCTAAGGGAGACCACCATTTTGACAATACAAGAATCAAAAGAAGGGAGAAAAAAGTTTGTGTACTAAAACATGCTAACTAACTAAAATTAATACCTAGTATTGATTTTTTAAAAAAGAACAAAAAACAAAACATAGAAGACCAGAACTCACTTTTAACCAATTCAGGTATCTGGTGTGGGATAGGGAGAGTATAGAGTGAGCTGGGAAAGCTTCAGAAAGCAAGAATAAATTCCAAGATTAAAGGATCAAGTCAAAAGTATACAGAAATAACTGTAAGGAATTACTCAACAGTCATAAAACTGGGCATCAAAAATCAAAGATTGGTGGGCTACAGTATGCTGAATGAATGAAAATCAATAAATCGATGAGACATAAATAAGAGAAGGTCAGACAATTTCAAGTGCACCATTTAAGGTGGCTAATTAGTTACAATCATGTAAAGAACATAATCACTCTTCCTGCCTTTCCCATTAGAATTACATTTCAAGTTTACCAAAGAGCATGAGGGCAAGTAAAAAATGTAGAAGGTAGGATGGTTTTAGAAAAACACTGATTCAAATAAAGATTTTCAGTTGTAAAAATCATTAGGTGAATTGATGATAAAGAACTGTATATCCACAGAATGCCAAACTAAGACACAGAGATCCCTTCTGACCATGCTATCTGAATTAGCTTTTTCTCCATCATTTTTAGCCCTTTATTTTGCTTATTTTTCTTCATAGCATATATCACTATACATAATATGTTTTCTAATTATTTGTTTACCTGTTTATTATACATCTCACTTACTAGGATGTCAATTCCATAAGAGCAGGATCTGTATTGGTCTTTCTCACCATTGTACTGACGGGGCTAGCACAATATCTCAGGTAACAGGTAGACACCTATTAAATGTTGAGTATATAAATGACCAAGGTTTTTTTAGTCAACAGAGGCATTTGTGTAAGTCTAAATACAAGAGGAACTGGAAAAAATGTTGGTTGCATTGGGGATCTTAATTTGCTTCCCCAAGTGTCAAGCTTTTTAACCACAGGGCTTTGAGGAGAGTTGCCCAAAAACATCACAAGGGCCCACTGCCTCCCGGAACAGCTAGGGCTTTTTACTTTGGTGATGACTTTTCCTGCCTCATCAGCCCTCACATACCTGGCCCTGTGTTCTTGTCACATCCCTTACAACTCTCCAGAGCAACTTCCCTTCCTCCAATAAGGTGATCACAACTGGCTTAGAAATGGAACACCCTGCTTACAACAAAGAAATGTAACAATGTATAAAAAATAGAATTATAACCAATTCTAAATAACACTTTTGAGAATTTGTTAAGTTTTTAATAAATGAAGTTGAAATGATAAAGACTTTGGAGAAGAGAAATGTGAGGAGATTGAGAAGTTGCCTATATATTCTTAGTCTTAGCAGTCTCTTCTAAAAACAACAATACAGGGCCAGCCCCGTGGCTTAGCGGTTGAGTGCGCGTGCTCCGCTGCTGGCGGCCCGAGTTGGGATCCCGGGCGCGCACCGACACACCGCTTCTCCGGCCATGCTGAGGCCGCGTCCCACATACAGCAACTAGAAGGATCTGCGGCTATGACATACAACTATCTACTGGGGCTTTGGGGGGGGAAAATACTATTAAAAACAACAATACAAGTAGTATTTATTACATAGGGTTATTGAAGAATTAAATGATTAAAAGTGCTTAGAACAACACCTGGTACAAGGCAAGAACTATGTGAGCTGAGAGGAAAATAAGTAGCTTTCTAAAACATTAAAAGGTCCTTGCTAGAATACTGACTTAATGTTAAGTGCAAAGTTCTTGAACCACAAAGCAGGTATCAGACAATACTCTTGGCAGGTAATGAATAAGAATTTTGTTTAACAATCTAACAACATATAAATTATACAGATTCTTTTAATAATCATAACAAATCAGGACATAGTATCTTAGCTGTTCTCCAAGAAGGTGAGTAAGAAAATAACATAAAGCATTTATAGCAATTCTGAGCTCAAACACAATATAACACATATCTCAAAGGATATGCTGTATATGTCCTACAAGTCAAATCCAGCTTCCTAGGTATCAAGGAAGGTAGAAATTATATGAAGGGACTGAAAAGGTATGAACATTATTAAGAATGATGACGATGCTTAATGGAGGTGTCATCTCCAACACAACGCTCAACCCATGCCATTGGAAACAGGGAAAAGAAATGTACTTAGTTTCTTAAAAAACAGCCTTGGGTCCACTGAATATTAACTGATATTCTATAGAGCATATTCTAAATTATGTGAAGCAGATAAATTTACCAAGTGAGACTAAGTTGCTGTAGTTCTCCATCATCACATCCCAGTACAAGTCCCTCTGAGCAGAATCCAGATAGTCCCACTCTTCCTGAGAGAAGTTGATGACCACATCCCTGAATGTCAACAATTCCTGAAACAACAAACCACATATTATAGGTAAAATTGAAAGAAATATTTTTGATGAAAACACAAGAAATAATCAATTGCATTACAGGAAGGGTGCTAAATAGTAAACAAGTATGCCAGGGGTAGAAGTCTGTAGTATGGAAAGTAAGGAAATGAGTGCTTCCAAAACAGACTATCTACATATCTTTAAAGAATCCATTTAACTCAGAGTAATTTTCCATAATGTGGGGTTTTTTAATTAGCTAAGCATGCCTGGAAATAAACAAAATAATCATTTTACAAATTAAAAGAAAGAGTGTATACGTGCACATTGCATGCTACATGAATTATCAATAAAGGTGAGTTTCTATATCCTTGTTCCTTTGTACAGCAAAAATATCTTACTTAGAAAATGGGATATGAACAATACTCTAAAATTTCTTGCAGCCCCAAGTTCATCACTATGTTCTCACCATTTCACATTATATGATAAGAATTATTACTTCTAATGACAAATTTATTTAGTAAATAATTTTTACTATATTTAGTAAATATTTTTTAGTGGCTACAGAGTAGTCTACTTGGTGAAAATCTATCAGCTGTAATTATACTTAGACATTTAGGTTGGATAAGATCTCCAATTCTGGAAGTCTGTAATCATCTACTATTTATGTATGACTGAGATCATTCAACATCAAATCCAATCTACCTGGAAACTCAGGTTTGTTAAGGGGAAGTACAGTTTGCCCATATGTCATCAAATGGATCCATCTGCTCTTTTTCTCTATCCAGGACTATGACAGAGGATGGTAAATACCTCCATCTAGGGATTCCATTTCTACTCTATAGCTGTTCTTGACAAAAGACTGAACACACAGGAGTGATGAACATTATTTGGAGAATAGATAGGCATACAGGAGGTACACTGTGCTATTTGACTCCAGCCCACACTAGAAAGTGCAAAACAATGGGGATGTGGGACAGGCTCTTTATTTGGGCTGTTTGGTAAGAAGATTCAGAAAAAGGAAATGTTCACAAAGGAGACTTGAAATAGCAACTTACATGGTCCATAGTTAGAACTGTCAAGAATTGGTCAGGGAATTCCACTTCTGGCATGACAGCATGAGGAGCTCCACAGACAGGCTCCCCATCAAAACTGGTGAAAATTATATATAAAAACATACAGCAAATGAAACATTTGTTCAAGAGAATCTACTAAAACTTATTAAGCACTGTGAGGGACTGCAGTATTTGAACCAAATCTGCACCATTCCTTTTCTATCCCATCTTAGTGAGAAAAAGACTCCATTCCAAACTGGGACAGCCAAGGACACAGGCTTCTTCACTCCTCAACCTCTGCTCCTAGTCATATGGCCATCTTCCTGGGAGGAGTAGGACACCAGCATTTCTCATCTTGCCCCCAGCTACTTGTTGTTCGGGCAAATGCAGCCAAGGGATGGGGATTTTCTTCTGCCTAGCATCCACGCACAAAATGCAGGCTGTACCTTGGGTGTGGCACTTCTGAGAATACTGGAGTTCCAATTGTCTTTGCCTTGGCTTGTGGGACAGGAGTTCCATGCCAAGAGAGGCAAGCTGAGACCCGGGGCTGCTGCACTCCCCCATCTACCAAGCATTCAGTTCCTAAAACAGAGATGTCACTCAGAGAGAAGCATGCCATTGTTCCTACCATGAGCACTAGAGCTGTGGCTCAGAGATTTTGTCCAGGGGGAAAAGCAGGCCATAGCAGAGAGATCTCCATATCCCTCTCCAAAGGAATTGACTTCATTTGCAAGACAGTGTGGAGTAGTTCAAGCCTAAGGGCTTTCTCAAAAACAGTGGAAATTTTGGTGAAAGGCTATTGAGAGAAGACTGAAAGATTCATTGGAGATAAATGCTAAACCGTAGGCTGGCTAGTTTGCTGGAAAGAATCAGATAAAGATACTTGCGGAGCCCTTCCCGTTGTCAGAACAAATGTCAAACACTGACTTGATTCCATTAGTCTGTGAAGCAAGATACACCCCAGAGCATTGCTGAAAACAATAGTGCCATGAGTCACAATTAGGAGCTTACCAGCAGGGTGTAGTCAGGTAAAGAGACACTCAAAGCCCTGTCAAAACCACTGTCATCCAAGGGTGACTGTGGTAATAGTCAAGGCTGTACCACCAAGGAGCAACATGAGAGAATTACACTATAGGGGGAGATAGACCTCACTTAATTAACCTAGCCAGTCACTAAACAAGAAAGCAAGCAAATGACAATAACAAGCCTGTGGGGGTGGGAAGAGCAGACACAAGTACCACAGTTGAAATGATGATCTAAAATGTCTATTTTCCACAAACAATTAACAGACATGCAAAGAGATAGGAAAATAAAACCCATTAAAAAAAAAAAAAGGGCAACAGAAACTACCTGTGAGAGCAACCAGATTTAACAAAGACTTGAAAGTAGCCATTATACATATGTTCAAGTAAACAGAAGAACCCATGCTTAAAGTAAATGAAGATATGATAACAATGTTGCATCAAATAAAGAATATCAATAAAGAAATAGAAGTTATTTAATATAACCAGGTAAAAATTGTGGAGTTTGAAAAGTATAATTGAAATGAAAATTTCACTTGAGTAACTCAACAGTAGATATGAACTGGCAGAAGAAAGTACTAGCAAAATTAAAGATAGGTTGATAGAGATCATGCAATCTGAAGAACAAAGGAAAAAACAAGCAAGAAAAATGAAGAGACCCTCAGAGAAATGTTGGACAGCATAAAGGGCACCAATGTACACATAATAAGTGTAAAAGAAGAGATAAAAGGATCATTTTAACATATTCAAATAAATAATGGATGAAAAGTTTCCAAATTTATTAAAAAATATTAATCTATACATTCAGGAAGTTCAACAAATACCAAGTAGGATAAATGCACAGAGATCTATGAATAGACACATCATGGTAAAAATGTGGTGAAATCCAAAAGAAAAGAGAGAATCTTGAAGAGGAAAATGAGTTGTCACTTTCAAGTGAACTCCAGTAAGATTAATTGATGACATCTCATCAGAAACCATGGAGACCAGAGGCAGTAGGATGGTATATACAAAGTATTAAAAAAGTTTCAACCAGAGTTTGGAAGATGGTGGTGAAGGAAGATCCTTAGCTTGCCTCTTCCCACGGACACAACTCTACAACTATGTGTGGAATAATTTCCTCTGAGGGAGATCTGGAAACTGGATGAAAAGAGCCTTCACAACAAGGGACAACACCAAAAAGGGTAGATGAGGAAGCAATACGGTGCTGCTGAGGGAAAAAGCACACCCTAGCTATGAAGTTTCACAGTCAGGAGTGATCTCAAAAGTATGGATCATTTCCTGCAGCAATGAGGGATTTGAGCTCCACATTTGGCATCCAAGGCCTTAGATCCAGCACAGGAGAGACGAAATTCCAAAACACTTGGTTTTGAAAGCCAAGAGGGAATATGTCCAGGAAAACTACAAAACTACAAGGAAAGGAAAATCTGCTCTTAATGGGCTCATACACAGATGCCCTCAACCTGGAAACCAGTGCAAAAACATCATATAGAAAAGTGCATAGTCCATATGTGAAGGAGATACTTACTAAGCTTGGAGTACCTCCCAGAGAGGCAGGAGGCAGCTGGAATCCCCCCAGGGACTGAGACACTGGTGGCAGACATTCTGGAATCCTCTCTCAAGCCTGTTAGCACAGGGAACTGCTCCACCCACCAGTGTACCCACAGCAGTTGGACACCGCTGGGACTCACAGCCAGCTGCACTGAGGGTCTGCCTCACCCTCCAGCATGCCTGCAGAAGTCGTGTGCTGCTGAGCCTTGCAGCCAGCCATGCCCCCAGCAGTCACGTGCCACTGGGCCTTGCAGCCAGCCATGCTGGGGGTCTGCCCCACCCACCAACGCACTTGCTGTGGTTGTGCAGTGCCAGGCTTTGCAGCCATCTGCACTGGGGGCCACCCCACCTTCCAGTATGCCCACAGCAGTAGTGCATGGCATGCCTCCCAGACAGCTGCAATGGGGAACTGCCCCACCCAAACAGTGCACCTGCAGTAGCCATTACTTGCAGCCGATCATGCTGGGAGCCTGCCCCACCCAATAGCATGCCTGCAGCAGCTGCACACAGCTGGGCCTTGCAGCCCGCCAGCCCAGGGGCCGGTCCCACTTACCAACACACCTGCAGCAGCTGTGTCCCTGCCACAACAGAAAAGCACACATAACCCAAATGGAGGACACTCCTGGAGTATCTGGCTCTGGTGGCTAGAGGCCCAGGAGCATGCTATTGGGCCCCAAAGGACATCTCCTACATGAGGCCACTTCTCCAAAATTGGGGGACATAGCTGATCTACCTAATAGACAAAGATAAACACAGAGAACTAGACAAAATGAAGAGATAAAGGAATATGTTCCAAATTAAAGATCAAGACAAATCCTCAGAAAAAGAACTAAATGAAATAGAGATAAACAATCTGCAATGGTCATAAGGATGTTCACTGAACTTAAGAGAAGAATGGATGAACACAGTGAGAACATCAACAAAGAGTTAGAAAATATAAAAAGGAACCAGTAAGAGCTGAAGAATACAATAACTGAAATAAAAAAATTCAGTAGAGGGAATCAACAGCAGGTTAGATGACAGAGAAGAACAGATCAGCAATTTGGAAGATAGTAGTGGAAATCACCAAGCTGAACAGGAAAAAAGAAAAAAGAATTTTAAAAAAATGAGGATAGTTTAAGAGACCTCTGGGAGAACATCAAGCATTCTAACATTAGCATTATAGGGGTCCCGGAAAGGGAAGAGAAAGATGAAGAGGGAGAGAACTTATTTGAAGAAATAGTAGCTGAAAATTTCTCTAACCTGGGGAAGGAAACAGACCATCAGGTCCAGGAAGCACAGAGAGGCCTATACCAGATGACCCAAAGAGGTCCACACCGAGACACATTATAATTAAAATGTCAAAAATTAAAGATAAAGAGTGAATCTTAAAAGCAGCATGAGAAAAGCAACAAGTTATGTACAAGGGAACTCCCATAAGATTCTCAATTGACTTTTCAGCAGAAACTATGCAAGCTAGAAGGGAGGGACATGATATATATTCAAAGTGCTTAAAGGGAAAAACTTACAGCTGAGAATACTCTACCCAGCAAGGTTATCATTTAGAATTGAGGAGAGATAAAGAGTTTCCCAGAGAAGCAAAAACTAAAGGAGTTCCTCACCACTTTGTTACAAGAAATGGTAAAGGGATTCTTTTTTTTTTTTTTTTTGTGAAGAAGATCAGCCCTGAGCTAACATCCATGCTAATCCTCCTCTTTTTGCTGAGGAAGACCGGCTCTGGGCTATCATCTATTGCCAATCCTCCTCCTTTTTCTTCCCCAAAGCCCCGGTAGATAGCTGTATGTCATAGTTGCACATCCTTCTAGTTGCTGTATGTGGGATGCAGCCTCAGCATGGCTGGAGAAGCAGTGCGTCGGTGTGTGCCCAGGATTCGAACCCGGGCCGCCAGTAGCGGAGTGCACGCACTCAACTGCTAAGCCATGGCGCTGGCCCTGGTAAAGGGATTCTTTCAGCAGAAAAGAAAAGGCGACAAATAGAAATAAAAAAATTATGAAAGAAGAAAAATCTCACTGGTACAGGCAAAGAAATAGTAAAGGTAATGGATCAACTTATAATACTAGCACTTATAATGCTAGTATGAAGGTTAAATAACAGAAGTAGTAAAATCATCTATATCTGCAATAAGTTAAGGCATATACAAAACAGAGGTAAAATATGACATCCAAAACACAAAACGGGGTGGGGGGAGTAAAAAGGGCTTTTAAAATGCATCTGAACACAAGAGATCATCAAGTTAAAACAGAATGCTATATACATAGGTTGTTATATATAAACCTAGTAGTAACCACAAACAAAAAACCTATAATAGATACACAAAAATAAAGAGAAAGAAATCCAAACATAACACTTTAAGTTATCCACAAAGGAAGAGAGCAAGAGAAGAAAAAATAGAGAAGAAATACAAAAACAACCAGAAAACAATGAATAAAAAGGCAATAAGTACACAACTATCAATAATTACTTTAAATGTTAATGGACTAAGTGCTCCATTCAAAAGAGTTAGGGTGGCAGAATGGATGAAAAA